ATTTAAACCATCGGCCCCCAACCACCGGGCCGCGGACCGGTACCGGTCCATCGTTCATTTGGTACCGGGCCGCACAGAAAAAAAAATAAATAAATTGTGTATATATATATATATATATACACCGGTATATATAAAGTTTATCGACGATCAGAGTCTGAGTGGTGTTTTATTTTGAAAAATACGAAACATTAGGGTATTATCTCCCAATTTCATCAGTCGGTGCATCTGTGCCTCTTGACTCAGGTTAATTCAGATCCAGTCTCATCCTATCTATAACATTCTATCTTTGTGAAGCGGGATTTTTTGCGGTTACAGCGACCAAAACAAAGCTACGGAGCAGACTGGACATCAGGAGCACACTTCGTCTGTCATTGTCTCAGATTACGCCTAGATGGGACCGGCTTGTTTCAGAGAAACAAGCTCAGGGTTCCCACTAATTCAACATAACGGTGAGTTTTATTTTTATGCTGTTTGTATTTGATCTTATGCCAGTCGTATCATTTTATTTATTCGTGTTTACCCCCCACACTATAAAGGGTGGTCCGTGAAAATATTATCTGACATATAACCGGTCCGTGGCGCAAAAAAGGTTGGGGACCGCTGATTTAAACGATTGATGACTAAATTGGCATTCATTCTATTGGGTTGCAGTGTTTTTTTTGGTGCAATTGGAATATTTTGTTATCAGGTAGCTAAGGCTCAAAGCGGCTCAAACACCAATTGGGGGGGGGATAGTTTTTTTCTTTATTATTTTGTTTAGGGCGGGTTAAGCAGCAGCTTACTACTAGGTTAATAATTATACTGTGTCAAAGACATCTTTGGATGCAGACCGGGGAACATTGCTGCTCTGCGCTTAATGGAAGCAGCTTTAACTGATGCTGTGCGTTATGTTTAAGTCAGGCTGTCGCTGGACACCTTATGAATACTCTATGTATACACCATAAATTAAAAATACATAGAAAGTTCAGCGTTTGCCAACCTTTTAGAAGATTTGGGACGTCAGGAATACGCCGTCTTAAGCAGGCGCCCAATGAACTGAGACTAGACCTGAAACCCTGCTGTTAACCATCTACTGTAAACCGCCCCCCTCTCTCTGACCAATTTATTGAGATCTAAACTGTCGAAAGCTTTAGAAAAGAAAAAAAAGACAAATTTACAGAACGCTAAACCCCGTGCCTTAGTTTCACGCTTTAAAGTTTAATCCCAAACCTCTAGAAAACATCAGGCTCCACGGAGCCGAGTGGTTCGATCAAATACATACCAGCTCCACCAGCTTCTCAAGGAAAGGAATGAGCTTTAAAAGCTCATTGTCGTTTCTATCCACAAACCAGCTTTCGATTGGGATTCCATTAGTTAGCTGGAAAAGACAAAATTCATGATTGAATCTCATTGGTGGAGAACCGTGGGGGGAAGAAAAATAACCAAAAACCAACACCAGTTAGTCTTTCTGCTTCTGGTGAAACGGTTTTACCTGATAGGCAAAGGCTTGGGGGGAGTTGTCGATTATGACCGTCTTTGCCAGATCCCGTCCGAGAATGTTCAGGTCTTTGATATAATTTCCTTGAACACAAACACAGTGCTCCCGAAACAGTCTATGTCTGAGGGAAAAATAAATAACAGAAGGGTTACTACAAAAAAATAAAAAAACAAAACAATCCACTGGACTTTGTTTCCAAGTTTGAAGACTCTTCCATCCAGGAAGCTTTTTCAATTCAAAATGGCAGAAATAGCGTTTAGTTCCAGGTTCTATAGAGTGGACTAAAACAAAGCCTTGTTTTGGTTTAGAAAACATGCAAATTGAACCAGTTCACCCTTTGGAGAAGGCAAACGACCGTCCATTCCAAAGGGGCGGACACCTTCGCCCAGTTTTCTAAACCAAAACAAGACTTGGGCTGTTTCTCAATCTGTGTACTTGTGCGTTCTCATGTACTCGTGAAACCTCTTCACCCTCCCTCTTTACCCAGCATGCATCAGAGCAGACTTGTCCGTTCCCCAGACTGACAGCTGTCCCAGCATGCACTGCGGCAGCAGCAGCTTCCAGGTTAGCGCTCACAGAGCTCAGAGGATTAAGTTAAAAGTCTTCTGTTCTGTTGCCGTTGTTCAATAAAAGTATGTTTTAAGATCATTTGAGACGAGGACATTATACTTTAAGCGTCACTATATGGCCCATTTACTGATGTACTAAGTAATTAAAAAACAATTCTGAAGTTGAGACTAGTGTTGCGCCGGTGCCATTTTTGGGCTCCAATACTGAGCAGTATTGGCTGATACCGATACCATCTGTTTGAAATCGATGTGTAAATGAAGAACTGCACACTACCTGGATGTAAAATAATTGCCATCATGGCTTTGTCAAGCTGCTGCCTACCTTTGTGAAGCAGGAAAAAAAAAATCTAATACAAAGTGAATCCAGTAGAACTTTTTATTGCCTACCAGGAGTGGGTGACAATAGTTGAATAAACTTTTGGCTCTCAAAATGGTACCCGTGCCCTATTTGTTGGTACTCTCCGATACAAATACCACCATTTTAGGGCAGTATCGGGGCCCCGTCCGATACTGGTATCGGTATCGGTGCAACACTAGTTGAGAGGACCGCGGCAATCAGTGGGCCTCCAAGGGCAGCCAGGGCTAACGTTAGCCCGTCTGCTTCTTTTGTTTTTTGAATTGTTTACCTTTGTGGATGTTTCCTTTTTAGAAGCCATTTTGGAACCTTGCTAAGGAAACCCAGCTCTCTTATAGAGGGAGCCATGATGGCTGAACTTTGATTGGCTGTGGGTAAATTGAGAAGGCGGGGATAGCAATATATAGGTGGACTGCTGGCTGTAGTACGAGTCTGAGGGGAAAGCTGCCATTTTGTTCTCAGTATAACCATGCTCTGTTGGAAGAGACTTAATAAATGACCATTTGTTTTTGCTCCAACCAACTTTGCTGGATTTTTCCTTCCACACCACACCTCTCAGCGCAACACTGACTGTTAACTATTATTCCCCCAACAAAAGAAAAAGTCAACATTTATTTTTATCTAGAGACTATTAATAACAAGTGAAAAGCAGCTCCAGACGAGCAGAGCGTGTGGTGATGTCATCAGTACGCTTCTGTTCCAATTGACCCCGAATTAAGCTGCGTGCTCCCGTTCTCTCCAAGTCCACACTTTTCCTTCTCAAGAACACACTTGGCGAGGAGGACACAGGTCCGTACTTGTCTTAAAACTTGGAAACAAAGCCCAGTGGATTGTTTTTTAACTTTTTTGTAATGACTTTGACCTGGATGACTGAGAATGTTCACCAGCAATAAAAGGGTTAACAACATAAATTATGGTTACATCCTGTAAACACGTTAAGTAATGTTAATAAGGGGTAAAATTTAAAAATAGTCTAAAACAACACAAAAGCAAATAAATAATACAAAATTAACCATTTTATAATTGATGATTAAATAGTTTTTTTATTACTGTTATATAATCATTAGATATATGAAATATAGTTATTAAATTCTGAGAAGCTATAAAGTTAAACTCTTTTCTAAAAGCTGTTTTAAATTGAGCTAACTTACCTTACTAGCTGTTTTTTCGGATCCAGTATGTTGAGCAACTTATCTGCATAGACTTTTTTTGAAGCAGTGAAGAGAATAATCTGAAATTTGAATGCAAACATTTTTTTTTTTTTATTTAATTTAAACTGTAATGAGATTCAGCGACACCAAGAAAAGCCGCCGGCCGCGGAGAAGAACCTCACCTCGTACAACTGAGACATGCGCTCAAGAAACTCTCGGAAAAAGGGCCTCAATCGGACATAGACCTGGAGAATTCAAAGGCAAGCAGAGTTTTTGTTAATGTGGATAAAAACCTGAGAGGTTTTAATAACAGACGGGCTTTTTTCCTAAAGTCACCTGGTAGATTACATCCTGAAAGAGCACAGGGAATGTCAGGGCTGCATCTTCTAATTCATTCAGACTGCAGTGGACTAAGGTTTCATCCTGGCAGGAAGATGAAAGAATTATAAAAAACTAATTAACAAGATTGATTTAAAAAAAAAAAAAAAAACATTCCACTTCCTACCAGATCCAAGACCAGCGAGAACTCAGGTGTGCTGCGTGTTTTCAAAGGTAAAGCTGGTTTACGCGTTAACTGTTCTTCTGTCAGCGGAGGCACATGCTTGATGAAGAAGTACCTGCAGAGAAACAGAAGATGCCGGTGGAGGATGTGAGATTTCACACTTCTAGTGATAAAATTGTTTACTGCTTTTCTGCTTTGGGTTCAAATAAAATATAAAAATTAACNGTTCTAATGTACTCGTGAAATATCTTCAGTTTCAGCCCTGCTCCAATTCACAAGAACAAGAAGACCGAGAACGGACAAAGTCCCTGGATGTTGTTCACTCCCCTCCCTCTTTACCCAGCATGCATCAGAGCAGACTGACAGTTGTCCCAGGTTAGCGCTCACAGAGTATTAAGTTAAAAGTCTTAAGTTGCCGTTGTTCAATAAAAGTAAGTTTTAAGATCATTTGAGGCGAGAACATTACCAGTATACTTTAAATGCACTATATGGCCCATTTACTGATTTACTGCGTAACTAAAAAACAATTCTGAAGTTGAGAGGACCGCGGCAACCAGTGGCCCTCCAAGGGCAGCCATGGCTAACGTTAGCCGGTCTGCGGCAGTCCTCTCTCAGTATAGCCGTCTGTGAAGAACCGCTGGCTCTGATTGGCGAGTTTGTTTTTTATTGGAAAATGTTCGTTTGATTTGTTTTTATCTGACTGTTAACTATTATTCCCCCAACAAAAGAAACAGTCAACAATTATTTTTATCTAGAGACTATTAATAACAAGTGAAAAGCAGCTCCAGACGAGCAGAGCGTGTGGTGATGTCATCAGTACGCTTCTGTTCTAAATGACCCATATTTATACTGCATGCTCCCGTTCTCTCCAAGTCCACACTTTCCTGTTTTCTTCTAAAGAACATACTTGGCGAGGAGGACACAAGTCCGTACTTGTCTTAAAACTTGGAAACAAAGCCCAGTGGATTGTTTTTTAACTTTTTTGTAAAGACTTTGACCTGGATGACTGAGAATCTTCACCAGCAATAAAAGGGTTAACAACATACACTATGGTTACATCCTGTAAACACGTTAAGTAATGTTAATAAGGGGTAAAATTTAAAAATAGTACAAAATTAACCATTTTATAATTGATGATTAAATAGTTTTTTTTATTACTGTTATATAATCATTAGATATATGAAATATAGTTATTAAATTCTGAGAAGCTATAAAGTTAAACTCTTTTCTAAAAGCTGTTTTAAATTGAGCTAACTTACCTTACTAGCTGTTTTTTCGGATCCAGTATGTTGAGCAACTTATCTGCATAGACTTTTTTTGAAGCAGTGAAGAGAATAATCTGAAATTTGAATGCAAACATTTTTTTTTTTTTATTTAATTTAAACTGTAATGAGATTCAGCGACACCAAGAAAAGCCGCCGGCCGCGGAGAAGAACCTCACCTCGTACAACTGAGACATGCGCTCAAGAAACTCTCGGAAAAAGGGCCTCAATCGGACATAGACCTGGAGAATTCAAAGGCAAGCAGAGTTTTTGTTAATGTGGATAAAAACCTGAGAGGTTTTAATAACAGACGGGCTTTTTTCCTAAAGTCACCTGGTAGATTACATCCTGAAAGAGCACAGGGAATGTCAGGGCTGCATCTTCTAATTCATTCAGACTGCAGTGGACTAAGGTTTCATCCTGGCAGGAAGATGAAAGAATTATAAAAAACTAATTAACAAGATTGATTTAAAAAAAAAAAAAAAAACATTCCACTTCCTACCAGATCCAAGACCAGCGAGAACTCAGGTGTGCTGCGTGTTTTCAAAGGTAAAGCTGGTTTACGCGTTAACTGTTCTTCTGTCAGCGGAGGCACATGCTTGATGAAGAAGTACCTGCAGAGAAACAGAAGATGCCGGTGGAGGATGTGAGATTTCACACTTCTAGTGATAAAACTGTTTACTGCTTTTCTGCTATGGGTTCAAATAAAATATAAAAATTAACAAGTGAAAAAAACAAAACAAAACAAAAAAAAAACTGAAAATGAATAGTTTCCATCCCAACAACATGGTTTAAATGAGCATCTGGTCAGATACTCCCTTTACATCAGCGGTCCCCAACCACCAGTCCGTTGTTAATTTGGTACCGGGCCGCACAGAAAAAAGTATAAATATATATAAAATTTATCGACGATCAGAGTCTGAGTGATATTTTATTTTGAAAAATATAAAAAATTGCGGTATTCTCTCCCAATTCCATCAGCTGGTGCATCTGTGCCTCTTGACACAGGTTAATTCAGGTCAAAACTCATCCTTTCTATAACATCCTATCTTTGTGAAGCGGGATTTTCTGCGGTTACAGCGACCAAAACAAAGCTACGGAGCAGACTGGACATCAGGAGTCATTTTCTCCGATTACGCCTAGATGGGACCAGCTTGTTGTTTTATTTTTATGCTGTTTGTATTTGATTTTATCCCTTTAAAGCCCGATCCAAGAAAAAAACAAATCAGAAAATAACTTTTTTTGGTTTGAAGTCCTTATTTGGCATTTTAACAAAATATGTAAAAAGAAAAAACAGAAATACATTTTTGATATTAATAACTTATTACTATGAGATAAGTCAAGATTATTTTTTGTGTAGTCTTCTGCCCTCTGTTATCAGGTATATCTGATTGTGTACAATAGGATTTTGAGCAAAGTTTTTACCATTAAATTATGCAAAAGGTGTCAGACGCAAAACATTTCAGAAACTGTATGTATCAAGCAAGATCTTTGCTGAATGGCTGGATATAGATCTTGTGCTTCTAGACGTCACTGAGGGGCGGTGGGGACTCCATTTGTAAGGGGTATGCAAGCAATCAAAAATGCTAAATTGCCCTATAAAGGGTTAAATAGTAGGAAATCGGTTAAACGGCTTCATCCTGCAGCAAAGTTATTACCTGGGGATTAGCTGTGATCAGAAACTTGCTTCAAAGATTCAGAACCACTTTTTTTTTTGTTATAAATATTAGGAAGTTGTGAGTTACTGAAAACACTTTATGAAAACTGCCCTTAGGGAACATGGAGGATGACAGGTTTGACTGAAAAAGCCGAAAGAGGCCAGAGAAATGAGGCACTAATGAGGCAGGAACAGCTTAAAAGATTTGACAATTGGGCAAAAGTCCAACATTTTTTCTCATTCTGGTCAGAAAGTAAAACATGAGGATTAATGACACACAGTGAAAATAACTAAAGTCTTCATTTGTCGTCATTTTTATCTTCATAACTTTAATTGAAATTCAGTCTTTCACTTTTCTGATGTCAGAGACAAAGATACCAGGAGAGGATGAGTGATGATGAAGATTACATTTTGGGAAGATCTGGATTTTTTTTTTTTTATTCCCACCAAAGCACTTCCTGGGCTTCCACAGCCCTGGATGACATCAGTTCCTCCATTCTTGTTATTACTTATAACCGATAAATGTGCTGACTGTGTAACACCACTGGCTGCAAACACTCTGTTTATTATTTTCATTATTTGCTGTGAAACGTTGTTCAGCAAGAATTTTCACAGCTTGAATCGTTTCTCTTTAAATTAAGGTCACCTCCTAAAGGGAATGGACTAAAATTAAAACTAGTTTTAAAAGTCATTTTTATCATAACCATAAAGGAAAATAAATCTAATAATCGGACTTGGTAGGGGGAAAAATACAGATTTTTTTTTTTTTTAGATTTTTAAGGCGTATCGACCAGCCCTAACAGAAAAGTACAAAAGATTTTGTAAAATATAAATATTTTTAAAATAATTTTTGAGGTTTAGCTGTAAAACTGTGAGCTGAAACAATAACACAGCTTTCTGCTGCCACCTAGTGGTCAGAAGCTTCCAATTATAAAAACCTGGAAACTTGAATTTTATAAATAAATAAATAATGTTTTTTTGTTGTTTTTTTTGTTTTAAATCAACTTACGGGTCGAAAACCTCCCAGTCCTCCTCATACGAGGTTTCTGCAGGTGCTGAAGGTAAAGAGTGTTGGTAGCTGCCATCTGGCATACACCCAGGAGCTGCAGACACAGAATTAAAAATGAGCTCTATTTAAACCAAAAAGCCCGACATTATAATGAAGAGGTCTGTCCAAAAGCAGAAAACATCATGTTGTTGTTTTGTCAATAATAATAAAAAAAAAACTTGGTTACCTGTTAATGGGGGTATGTCCGTTTCAGTGACGATTTCTCCTTCTTCGATGGTCGTCTCGGAGGGGATCTGAAGCCTCTGAGGCGACATCTGGATGGTGTGACACGGAGTGATTCCATCCCTGGATGTCAGAGTACTGCTTGGCATTTCTTCTGCCTGCTCGATGTCCAGCTGTTTAATGATTTCCTCCGCCTCCACGGCTTGGCCCGGTGAATCTGAGCCTGGAGTGGCTTAAAGTGACACAAATGACATTTCAGTAGCTTTACGGCCTAATAAAGCTGACAAGTTGTTTCTATTCCCTACCAGTTTTAGTTGCTGGTGAGAAAAAGTTGAAAACTGGAGAGAAGATGGTTCCCAGGAGGGTTGTGCGTGGCGGGCTGCTCGGTGAGTCTACTGTAGCCTCCAGTTTACCATTTGGTTTCATAGGTTTACTGTTGCAGGTCGTTGCGTCTATAAAATAAACAATACATTATAAGATTGAATTAATACAAATATATATAATTGTGTCCGTCTCCATTTTTTATTTGCACCCTCTGCTTTGGAAATCAGACACTATAGGGAAAAAAGCAAACCCAAACTAGGATCGCTCCAATTTATTTGCCACTTGAATGAAGCTCTTCAGTTGATGTTCTGGATTTCACTCAACATGGAGTCGTGTATTTAAAGTAGTAGGGAAGTCATGTCAAATCATTCTGGCTTAAACATGTATATAAATGCACTCTTTATCAGACCATATTGCCCCAAAATAAAAATAAAAAATCCTGTCTTAAAATCTGTGTTTTTCTCCGTTATCTTCTGCAGGCCAGTTAGTTCTACGTCAGCCTGAACACCTAAATTCAGCCAATCATATATCAACGCTCATTTGTCAGTCAAATTTTTTCGGTCATAGCATCTTGATTCATGTGTCGCAGCTAATATACGCAACGGTTGAAATCAGAATCCTTTCCTTTCCCATTGAGTTGCGTCCCAGTGTTCACGGGGATGGACGTCTGTGTCTTCGGCAGGCGTAGAGCTAACAGAACTGGCAGCGTTGCGAGGCAAGGGCTCAAACATGTACGGCTGGAAGCCTTCTACACCAAACCAAGCTTCTGCCGCCCTGGCGTCCTCTTCCACAACATCTTCGTCCCCGCTTTCCTCCTCTAAATAAAAAATGGATGACGGAGGAGACTCATCCACGACCTCCGACACTAAACTCTCCTCCTCTTGCATGTTTCCGCTGTCCATAGCGTTCCTTGACAGCGTCGTTTCTAAGTCACCAATTTAGTGGAATTTCCCATTGGGAACCTGCTAGCACTAAGTTGCTAACTGGTTAGCATGATGCTTCCAATAAACCGGCCACAACAATCCCGCCCCCTTGATAATCGACCAATCACATTCACTTTATTCACTCGTGTAAAGTCGGGCACCACTCGGGAGAATTCGGAAATGCAACGATTGGAACAGCCGCTTCCCTACGACTTTAAAGGAATATTCATGGACATTTTTATTCCATCCTGTTCAATAAATGATCAGTGTTTTTAATTCAGAGTAATTTCCATGTGAATGTGCTTTACTGGAGGCATCCATGTTTGTCAAAGAACACTACTGCCACCTACTGGTTAGTGACGTCACGGTGCGGTATCGGCTGTTGATCAAGTCCCAGTGCTGTATCTGGTGTTTGTCACAACGCGCTATTATCCAAGTCATCTTGAAAACATTCTTCTTCCAAATGTTGGCTACATATTACGGGTTTTTTCTCTGGCCAGAAGTTCGATGGCAAATCCTCCCTCTTCAAGTTGGCGATCCAACGACCAACCCGTCCGTGGAGGATCAGGAATCAGAAAGGTGGAAGAACTCTTTTTTTCACTTTTTTTTTTTGTCTCCACAAGTTAGCTTTAATAAATCCAGTTTTCTGGTATTTTTTTTAGCTTAAATAAACTAAATAATGTTCTCTATAATAAAAGGCATCAGACACTTTGCCGTTCTTCTGAAATCATATTAACCATATTCCTCCTAAAGTCCCATTCTCATCAGAAAACATGAACACTGAATGTTTTAGAGTTGAAAGGTGTTTTTTTTCTCTCTTTTACATTTGCTGTAAACCACGACAGAAACCAGAAGGCTGTCTCTGCTTTACCTTTACTTTGAGTTTTTCTGCAAACTCTTGACACGGACTTGTTGGCCAGACCCCGGGTCTGAGGCGTTGAAGTAATGAGCTCATCGTCTGAATTACAATCAATGCGACTTCGCTTGGCCGGGATTTCCTGCTCCACCTAAAAGCAAACAGACAAATAAAAATGGTTAAAATTGGACACTTTACTCAATTTGTTAAAGTTCAATGAAAAAAAGAAAAACTGAAAACTGATGGATGATTTTACACATGATAAAGACTTAATGCAATGTTCAAAATATCTGATAAAATCAACAAGTGAAAGCTAAGGACGGTAACATCCAAGTTACTGTGCGGAGACTAAGGAAGCAGTTATTAAGTAAACAAAAAAGTCTTTAACTAGAATAAGAAATTTAATCGTCTTAATAAAGCTGGTAATCTGGAAAACAGAAACACTTTTTATACATTAAATATGCTTAAAATTAACTTGCTTCGTAAAAAAAATGAAGAGTTTGAATTTGGGGGAAAAGCCCAAAAAAAACAAAGAAATCCAAATAATAATACTAATAATTAAACAACCCTTCAAGACTGTTTGGGGGAAGGGATGGGTTTCAATTAATTCATCAGTTTTAAAATTGGGGGTTTTAATAAAAGGAGTAAAACCTCATTTTAAACTAAACAAAATTTTAAGAACTAAAACAAGCTTTAGGCATAAAACAACCCAAAGATTATATTACAATATGGTTATTATGGGATATCATGCATTATATTTTAATAGTACCATGTAAAATATAAAATACGTTTTATTGATTAGATGAAGTAGAAGATAATACAAGGTAGATGTTAAATATGAACAAATGCCAGACATAACCTTAATAATCTCCTTAATTAAATTATACTAATTCCATTTTATTAGATAACTTATTTAAAATTCCCTAATTAGATATTTTTTATTTAAACTATAAGATATATGTGAATGAAAAGTTTTATCAATTTTTATTCTTAAGCTTCATGTGCATTTAATCTATACACTGCAAAAAATTCAAATCTCAATAAGTGATTTTTTTTCTTAAAATAAGTGCATTTTTTGCTTGAATTAAGGAAGTAAGTGAGACACTTTGCCAATGGAACAAGAACATTTACATTTAAAATAGGAAAAAACAATTATATTGTCTTATTACACATGCATATAATCTAATTATCTTTTTTTAAGAGTCAAAATAATAATTCCATTGGCAAATCATCTTAATTATCTGCTCAAATTAAGGGTAAATACACTTAATTTAAGACATTTTTACTCATTTTTAGATCGTTTTTGCAGTGTAAAGTATAAACATTAGAAAAGGAGTGAAAATCGACGCATGGAGGAGGAACGGGATTAGATGGGTTTAGGTAATCCCACCGATCATCAGTGCGAAACTAATCTATGATGTTGACAGTTTCACTGAGTTTTTACTGATTTAATATCACAATAGGCTGAGTCTGTTTTGAGATTTAAAAAAGTAATGAAGTTGAATAGAATCCTTCCTGAATCCTAAAGCTAGAAAATACTACAATAGAATCTGTCATTTTAATAAACAGAGGTGACAGAATAAAAGCAAGAAGCAGTAAAGCTCTGCGTGTTTACCTTCACAGCATTCCCACGGATAAACTTCTTTATGGTGGAGAGGAGCCCAGTTTCATTTTTCTGCATTTTGCCTCGGCCTCTCGGCGGGGACGGCTCCACCTCTCTGTGTTTTCGTTTGGCCAGGGACGGGTGCGTTCGGTGGCCTTTGTTTGGCTGCTGAGGAGCTTTACGCACTCTCAGCCTCATCATGCTCCGGAGTCACATAGAAAAACCTGAGGAGGAACAGAAACACCAGCTGAAAAATATGGTTATGATTTAGTTTCTGCTTTAATAGTGTTCAATGTGGACAGATCACTGCAACAAAGAGGTTCCATATGCCGAATGGTTGTTTGTTAACTAGGGATGCACGATATTGGGATTTTGGCCGATATCCGATATGCCGATATTTTAAAACTCATGTAGCCGATAACCG